TGTCTTTGGAAATGATTATGCATACAATGGACTCGAGACAAGGTGCTTTTCTCTAAGTCTTCTTACCAATATGACCAAGTTGCGAAAACAAGGTTAAGCAACTTTTATATGTTTTTGTTTAACCAGGCAATCCACTTTATAAACCTTCTCGTGCTATCGAAGAGTTATGTCTTTTCTTTTGTTATCACCTTTGACATTCCATTTTATTACAATGGTCGCAATTTCTGGCTCAGTTCGCAGGCAGACAGACATATCAACTTTTGGTCGTCCTCCCTATTTCTGATCTTATATTAATAATATCCTTGTTGAAATCTACTCTATGATCCCCATATTTCTTTCTATAGATTTTCGGCGTTCCAGTTATTAAGAAAAATCCGAATCAGTTTTTCCAACTTCTCGTTCCAGAACTCAGTTTCTGTTATTCTTAATCTTCTGATGATCGTACTCATTATTATTTCGACCTTTGCCGTTGTGATGAGGCTGGAAATTGAGGATTATTCCTGCATGTGATTTATTTCGGAACGGTCTCCTTTCGACTATTCCGTTGAAGCAAATTACCTCAACTTCCAGGAAGGATAGTCGTTTATTAACTTCTGTGAATCTTTCTCAAATTTTATTTCATTATCCCTGCGATGTAACTTATAAATATGCTATAACTGTGTTAAAGAGGATGTGAGCTATGATAAGGAGTAAGTATCAAAACAAGAGGACAGATACTCAAACCGTTCTGCAGAACGTCGGCCTGCGTGTAGACCTCCCTCCTTATTACCAATTGTTGGCGCGAAGAATGTTAGCACTGAAGATGCTACCTACACTACTTGGGAAACGTCAGGTAATGTACTAAGTTCACGATCCGGCACTATGGAAGAGGACTTGGAACATGATGTGCCAATCGAGGTCCCTCTGACTACGCGGCTAAGTTGGAAGACCGACAACAATAGAGGCCACACCGTCTTGGTCTTCATATCCGTGGTAAATTAATTTAGTGCAGTCAATCATGTTATTCATGACTTCTTGGGCCATTCACTTTATCCGATTTTTCACTCATGCTTTTTAGCCGCATCCTCTTCCTTCTTACATCTTTCAATTTTAACTCAGGCTTTAGCATGAAGAATTCCTTTTTACTTGTGGTTTTATCTTAACATTTAGGGTTGCAGTTTTTGGAGCATCTTTTGACCATTTTATCAGTTGGTATGCCTATTCCATCAAAGTTTTGCCCCCTTCTTCTGCTTGTAAGACTTGCAAGACGTGTCCACGATGAGGAGAACTTTAAAAAAGAAGATTATTTCGAGAATATTTCGGAAGAATTAACCATATTTGGTGAATCTAATACTGGTAATCTTTGTTTACTCCATAAATCAATAATAGCTCTTTCAGATGCAGACTTCAATTCGATTGGGCTTTCACATTCACCACTCCACAGCTTTTCTCGGCGGGACAGAAATAAATCTGCAATTTTATACGAGGTAATCTATCACTACTTCACTTTAAATAAAATAAGGTTAATGCATATTTAAATATACTTTGATTTAACCCCTTAAGGTTGAATTTTACTTATTTGGATCGGCCATTCGAATAAAACATCATTGGCTTGATTGATAGATCGATTATTTATTTCAATTGGTACTTAGATTTACAACCGAATTTAGTCTTTGCAGGACAGTGGTCCTCAGGATCTGCATTATTTCACTAGAACGTTATTTATCTATTTTTTAGCATATGCTTCTGACTTCTTCTATTTCTATATATATTTCTTTACAATCTTGTTACTCCAGATTGAGCCAATATTATCCACTTAGTATTTTGAGCCAAATCATCATAGATCTGTAAGTTGTGGTAATAGATTTGCTGAGACGACATGTCATTTCTTAGATGAAATTTGAATGGCATAAAGCTATTGAATTGAAATTCATTGCGCTATCGATCCCAAGATAACGTCCCCATCCAAGGTAGATCGTGGTCTTGATTTTATCCGGTCTTAGTTAACATCTTTACCTACATTTGACGTGCGGTTCCTTGGATAAACACATGGCTAACCTTGGTGGATTACATGGCGAATATGGCTTTCAACCAAATGGAACCTCTGCACATGCATATAGTAAAGCTTGTCAGCAATGATTTTCCTTACAACAGCACCAAAATAAGTATTATATCACTTCATCAAAATAATCATTTTGCTGATAATATACGTTTATATATCATCATACAAGTTCTCATTATAAATGCTGGCATAGATAGGCATACTCTGACTTGAAAAACTAGCTTGCAGTCCAATGCAACAGTATTGGAATCATGTGGTCTAGGTAATATTGTTTTGTTCAGATGTACGTTTACCCGAGTCATAGAGGCGCAGATGAGGTCTTAGAAAAGTCGAAACTACTAATTACTCTGTATAAGCATGAAAAACCAAGCCATTTCCCTCTTTTCTTGAGTATACTTGCTTTCACACCACGTAATGAAAATTGAATTTCATCAGAAGGTAGTTTTTTTGCAGAATCTGCCGAGTGGGTACTGTTATTCAGTCGATCAGGGTGCGACTCTGAAGTAGATTAGCATAAACAAGGTGGAAATTAGGATATTGATTAAATTAGGTAGGTACATGCACGAGGATGGCAAGGGAGGTAGTACAACCCTTTACCAGACAGTTGGCCACGAGATGGACTTTAATTTTCTATTTGGCAAGCTATAACTTGGTGCCAATAACGACAAGGCTAACTGGCGATGTCGGCGTAACGTCTGGGACTGTATTCATCAATATTTAGATGCTGAAAATGATAGAAGCGGCAATACAAGATGAGTTATTCGAAGTTTTCCTGAGAAGGTGAGACAATTTCCCTACTTTAAAAGTTGATCGCAACATCATCCTGGTTTTCATACCCACGAATACGTTTTGTTTTCAAAAGCATTTATCTAATTTTGGAGAATAATCAGCATAGAGCGACAATCCTCACTAGTTATTTATTCTTATGTTTTATACTTGTTTTTGATTTCACCATTTGTTGTTTTCTATCATTATCCTAAGCTCACTGAATATTATGGCAATGAAATAGGCTTATAGACCCTGTCGATCTACAACTTTATTCTAGGCATAGACAGATACTTGTCAAAATAAATACCTATAATCCTGCTATTGCTACTTTTACTTTGTGATCCTTACCTTAATTTATCAAAGTTTCCAAATGAGTTTCCATTTTGAATAGTTTTCGTGCTTCATGACGGCCCTCACTACAAGGCCCGAGATTGTCTGGTCCGATACTTGTCACTGCACTAGTGAGGTAAAGTATTTTCTGATCAATATGGGTTATCTGATCTTTCATTTATATCAACCTAATTATTTTAATGTATCTTGCAAATTTGCTATAAATATACTATTCGTAACTAAGACTGCTTACAAGATGGTGTTTTTAAAATAAAAATACTTTTTAAACCATTCATCCTCTTTCTTCAATATGCAAGGGCAAATAACCTATATGCATCTGCGTTATCCATTTCTGGTTTGCTGGGTCATGAACTTACGCTAATTCGCAATGGTTATCGTCACATTCACCCATTCATTTGACGCACATAAAGCTCTTAATTATCATTCTTAATGCTGATTGTTTCTGATTACTGATTATCTTAAACGATGGCCATTAAAACTTTCGAAAGATACTAATTATATCCCTTATTTCCACTCATCATGAAATGCAAGGCCGTTGCCATGTTTTTTTCATGTTTGTGAGACAACTCGCAAGCCACTTGTTCCAGATCTTTGTGAAAACTAGTATAATTGGCATTATAAAACTATAACTAAACTTCTCTTGGACCTAATATTCTTAGCAAAATTTCAATACGTAATCTGTGTTGTCTTTAAACGAAAATAGGATACATGGCTTCTCCAGAATGAATATTTAATACAGTTGGGACCACTACGCTACACAGCCTTTCAACTCAGGGGCACTCGTGGTAGTTTTCGTAGTAGTTAACGTACCAATACTATACGCTAAACTACCCAGGTTCGGTTCCTGTTTGTGGTTCAGATGAGATTCGAGGTCGAAACTGCAGCCAACCTTGGATGAGATTACCTTTAGGAAGGCAAGATTATGTGAGGGTCAATGAAAACAAGAGCTTTACTTATAACTAGGACTATTCGACTACCGGTCCTTCATCACTTTGAATGAATAGATCTCTTATACAGGATCTATTGGTCGTTTCACAACCTATATACAAACGAAATTACTATGTATACATGATCGTTCGGTGTCTACTGATGGGTAAAGGCCACTTCGAGCATCAATGTATGCATCTTTTGCTATTTTAGTTATGCCTTTTCTGAGTATATCATCGTTTACAACCTTTTTATCTTCACTATTATAATATCTGATTTTATCCTTTTAGGCTTATTCTGCCCTGGTTCACTTTGCACTCGGTCCTGTCCACAGATTGCTTCGTGAGTCCGGTCACCGAGAGCTTCAGCCCATGGCTTATCTCGGTTGCCCTTTTTTACACCCCAGAAGGCAGACAGCATCATCCACACTTAGCCTTGGATACGTTGCCTCTAGTCTTGGCTTGCTGACTCGTGCTCTTACCAGCTTGATGTGCCGACATGGTGAGGACGGCTTCCAGACGAGCACGGATCGCTTACCCGGCTTTTTTCACCTGGTTGCTGAGCTGGTCAAGTGGGCACGCTGGCAACGCTCGGAATCGTGCCCATTCTATCCTTTGACATCTACAGACAGCGTGCCTCGAGAGCAGAATTTGTCTGGTCCCATTATGGATAGATCTGTGTTTTGTCCCATCAGCCTAGACTTAATAGATGATCTGGTTGATTTTGACCTGGCCCAATCGGACCTATATGGAATGAAGGAAATCTGAAATGAACTAAAGCTGATAAATCTTATACTTCATTATCATTTTCTAGGCTTTTATGTGAACTGATCACCGTCGTGTTATCTCTGTGATTTTCGATGTCCTAACTCATCCATAAACTTCTTAGCTACTTTTATAGTAATGTCTCTGATGTTTAATTATTTTTTGCATTTGTGCACTTTTTTATTCCTCAGATCAAATGGCATTTATTCTTTATCTTTTGTGTCTGAGACGTACAGCTTTCTGTCATTTATAGTTCTGCATCAATATTTTCCTCTTTTTCTGGTCTTATTAATGTGAATGCAAAGTTCCTTTATTATACGTTGTACATAAGAGATAAATATAAATATATCTTACTTTCTTCACTATTCTGCCAATAAATGATAATTCATAGTCAAAAAGTTTTGTGCTTCTGAATTATCGATGTGTTTAGCCAAAAATAAAGCTGCTACCTTCTTTTTATAGTCATTCTAAATATCTTATAGATTTTAATGATGATGTTTCTTTAAATCCTTAGCTGAGCTCTTAAAAAATTTCCTTACTCCATTATTTATTATAGACATTATAAGGCCCCCAACGAAGGGCCTATACGAGGTCTAAATTACGGGAAGGCATGACTACATATCTTAACTATCATTCTAACAAAGCATTTAGCTTTACAACAGCGAAGGCTATATAGTCCATAGCCGATGGCTAGGAAATCGATTATTTTTTGCCATATTCTGTGGTTGATGATGCGTTGTCTTTACTCTTTTTTATTTGTGTTTTTTGTTTATAAGATTTAAAATTTCTGCTAGATTTACTAACTGTATTACATAGATAAACAGCTCCTTATTGCTTCCTTCCTCTGTCTTGCCTTTTTGGGTTTCCATTTTTATTAGATAAAGTTCATATTTCTGAAGAAGTTGTCTGAAATACTCATTGTTTCATATGCCGTTGCTGTTTGACAATTATTAACCACTTGTTTCGAATAAAAATGTTAGATTGTACTAAGGATCTTTTCCAGGTTATTCAATGCTTCGGGATTTCCTTTTTCCTTTATTTGATTCCATGTATCACATCAGTTCTGCTCAGCATCATTCGCCGAAGCTGGTTAAAATCTTCATCAGCCAAATCTGCCCTACGCCATTGATATTCTGATTGATTAGTCCAGAACTGCAGATTTTCACCATCGTGATCTTCCATTTCCCTTATCTCGTCGACTATGCTTGAATTAACGGCCAACCAACGCTTCTTGGCTAGCAAGCTCTTCGAGATGGGTGCGGTGAAATTTGGTGATTTTATGCTCAAATCTGGTCAACGCACTCCTATATATATAGATCTGAGATTAATGGTCTCCAAGCCTAGCCTTATGGTATACATTTGCATATTTGTATATATTTCACGCTTATGCATACTCTTCTTGTTTTGCATTCATACTTTCAGATAATTTTTTCCGTATTTTTTTTAGCGCAGCAAAGAAATGATTAAATTTGAACCTAATTTTATAAATGAACCGGGCTTAAATCTGACAGACACATTGGAAAACGTAGATATCCTTACACATTCTCATTCGTACATATTTACCCCACCTAAGAGTTAGCAGTAGCAGACCAGAGTTTCGCACAGCTTCTCACTGGCTCCCATGCTTTAAGATTACTGGTATCAATGATTTAGTTAGGTTCACTTCTTAAAACAATGAGGTTAACTACAGGTTATATTCTACGAAAATTGATCTTCAATATACAAGGACCCTGAATACTATCTCGTTTTTCATACAAAATAAATTTGTATTGTTTTTCGTGCTTTCAGAGTAGCCAAAAATATGTAAATGTACCTTCAGATGATTTCAGTGTTACCTTTTAAATTATGATTGCACTTTTTTCAGGCAATATTTAAACTGAGTTTTAATGGTATCACTCCTGCTGCATCCAGGCCGAGAATCCCCGTTTTCCTAGAATCTTTGCCTAGCGTAGCTACCTAATTTGGGGACTTATATGTTTATGATTCCATAGTCTGCCCAGGCGAATAGCTTTGTCTAAGGAGAAAATCAGCTTAGTCTTAAAAATATAATTAACAAATTAAAAACGGAAAGAGAAAGTATAGTGAGATGGAGTCTATGAATTAGGGACGGCATGCATGATCTGGAATATATCGAGAACTGCTATTAAATGATTGCCAGAAGTGCTGCTTTCGCCATCTGTCCAGGGAACCCTTAGTCAAAGGGTCATGGTGGTCAAAGGGCAAGTTCCTTTCAAGTAAATATTAATGCTGCTACGATGAAGACCTGAGTTCCAAAGAAGACGAGCCCAATAAGCCATAAAGATAGGATGTAGCCTAAAGGAAGAAAGGAGGCGACTCAAATTTAATATCTTCATTTCTTATCACTTTGATTGGGTGATGCATAGTTTAGTTTTTTTATTTACGCATGTACTTGATTACCGGCTCTATACGCCAAGCCTTCTCGGGTCTCTGGATTTGCAACAAACGGCTAGTCGCATATTAAAGTAAAGAATGCGAAATGATCTAGGGGTATTAGGTAAACCGAATAGACAGATGAGGCCATTAAGCCTACTAGAAGAGACTAATCGTGGTCATCTCGTCGGAATGTTAACTTCTGGCAGACATCTGTTCTGAAGCATTGCGAATTTAGAACAGTATTGAAAGAAGGAAATTACACGGTGTAAAACAGGCAAGAATTATTAGGATTAGGATGAAAGCTGAGGGACAACGTGGTGTATGACGTTCATACAAATGCCTGGAATCAGGACATGCAAGTCTGGTATAAAAGCGCTAATTTAGAGGCTCATATATTCACCGTAAGCCCTTCTAATTTATTCCGCAGAAATTCGGCATATGCTACTGGGACATTTTGAAATTTACATTTGAAAATCAAGATGTCGCCTTATGTTTGGTCGCAGTCTCCTTTAACTCTATAATGTTGGTATACCTCGCTTCCGCAATTTGGTCGGGGACACATGGGTACCTTGTAAAACGTACTTAGTCCTGCATATTCATGATTTCCAGCATTAGACTGTTGACTTGGTATATTCCAGGATGTTTACCCGGCATCATCAGTGAATGGGGACACCGTTATCACATAGTTACAACTTATCAAAGTGACAAATGAAGGCAATCTGCTTGATCAAATCTCTGTTCAACCATTGTGACATGACTCCTTGCCTCAGTTTTTGTCTTACTTTCTAGTTTTGAATATATTTCTCTCAACCAAACTTCATATGACCCATTTACCTATTCACTCCATTCTGTTCTTCCGTTTCCTCCTATTTCGCCCCAAGTGGATTTAGTTAAGCATAATCACCTTCACTGGTCTCATATACCGTTCGCTAGGCTTCTGGGTCATGGCTTCTAGCTTTTATTTAACTACCTTCCACCTTGCTTGTCAGTTGTTCCCTATCTGAAATTTTTTTTAGATTTATTTTGTAGCACCTCAATTCCACAAAAAAAATTCTAGTTTTCCAGATATTAATAAAATGCTTTCAACCACTTTCTTCTTCATCCTTAGGGAGTGGCAGGAAGGACCGGCTACTTTCAGCAGTCGTAATATATGTTGGTCATTCCAAAAATTATCAGAAACTATTAACTATGTTTACGTACTGGGAATTTTATCACCAAGGTTCTTGGATTCCAATTTTCGGCGGTCTGGAGTTTGTTGTCGAGCAAGCGGGAGAAAAGGGACAATTTCTGTACTTTATTACAAAGCTCAAGCTTCTTTTGGCCGAATGCCATTTCTTACTTTTAAATTAAATCTACACCTTGTTATACTTCGCTTTGCCTTGGGTGTAATACTATAAGCCTACTCTACTTGAGTCACTGAAGTCTACTCGTGATTATATTTGACAAGCTGATGTGGGATATATAAACCAAGCCTCAAACGACGGAGTTTCAGTATATTTTAATATAAAGTCGACTTTTTCAGAAGCCATATGGTAATTTGGATTCCGGAAATGACACTTGTCTGACACCGAAATATTCTTGACCCAGAGGAATAAATCCGACCCAAAATTAATGCTTTTAATGTTCTTTTCTCGGAATAATCTCATTATTCTGAAAATATTCGAATACCCCTTTTCCTTTTTTTCTCTTTCTGGTTACTATATAACATTATTTTCAAACCGACGACAACTTACTCTCTTTGGTTAAAAATTCTGTCTGCTGACAAAGCGGGAATATTAGTAACCTTTCACTTTATTTTTTTATATACACTAACATAAAATTTAACGAGACAAGGTCTGTGATATAGACCTAGCTTTCAATTTATGTGCCTGGTAATTATGAGTGTAGATCCTTTTTTCTTACGTGCTCGATATAATATCTTCAATTATTGTATCTTATTCTCTTCCGTTTTACATTCATTTTATCAGACTTTATTTGAAATAGCTTCGCCTTACAAAATCTTATTCTCTGCGCAACACTTTTTATTAGGCCAGTTAATATTACTTATCTCTTCCTCTTTTATAGTGCATAGCCGCGCAAGAGCTTTGGAGGTTGGCCAATTCATTCGAGGATTACAGGGCAGAACTTATTTGTGGTGTACCCTACACAGCACTTCCATTAGCTACTGTAAGCTGGTGGTGTTACTTTTACTTAGGTTTAATACATTCCGATTGCTTAAATTAATTTCCACTTGTTTTTAGTATTATTTCTCCGTTCCCTTCGTTCTTGAAATGCAAAGATAGAAATAAGTGGAAAAAAATTAATTAACTTAACTCGACTTTTCATTTTGAAGTAAAATTTAGTTGGGAGGAATTAGTGAATTTTTCTTATCGGGACCCGAAGAAGGATTGCTTTGGAGTGCAGGATGTTGAATTATATTGAAAAGTGCTCTGCTTACCGTCCTGCGACTTCGATGAACTCATGC